GGAAGGACAGGAGGGCCAGAGGGGAGGGGAGTTTGGAGTGTGCAGTCAGTACGGGAGAGGAGAGGTTGCTCCTCTAGCTTTCTGGTTTGTGGGGAGAGACAGCGGACTGCATGGGGCAGGTGGGGGAAATGGGAAGGGTGGTGCTGGCATCCTTGCAGTAAGTTAGAGAGAGAGCAGTTTGGGGTGTCTTAACTTGTTTCCCTCTGGGCTACAGGCAGCAAGAATCAAACCATCTGTCTCAGCACAGCAGCTCTACCTGGACTGCAGAGCCAGGACTCTCTTTTCGGCTGGGCTATAGGGGAACAGATTGCATAGGGGAAAAGAGGACATGGGTGGGTGCTGGTGTCTGTGCAGTGAGGTGCGGACAAGGGGGAGTTTGTTTGGGGTGTCTTAACATGCCCCTATCTGGACTGCAGGCAGCAAGAACAAGACTCTGTCTCAGCACAGCAGCCTGGGCTGCTGACATAGGACTCTCTCTTGGGTTGAGGCAGGTTGTATGGGGTGATGCCAAAATTTCAGGTGGGTTAAAAGCTTTTAGACTGCTTTTGAATACTGGAACAAAAAGCCTAGCTCGACATTTGCATGAGTACATTTCAAACAAAGTTTACATAGGTGGGAAGGCTTAAGATAAGAAAGGAAAGGATTCTTTTAACAGATTTTTTTAGTGTTGTAGATATCTGCAAATTCTGATCCATTACAACAACATGTATGGTGTGTGTACAGGTAGGATGTAAAATAATACATGACCTTTAAGGAAGAAAACCTCAATCTTGATTTAAAGACCTCTAAGTAGTGAAGAATACACCACAACACTAGGTAAACTGCTCCTGTGGTTAATTACTCTGACTTAAAAACGGGCAGCTTATTTCTTAGTGAATTTTTCTACCTTCAACTCCCAACTACGGGCTCTGACTTTCTCTGCTAGATTAACAAGCCTTCTCCTTGTGTATGATCCTACAGACCACAATCAAGTCATCTCTCTCAAATATCAAACATTCTGTGCAACAGAGTCTCAAGAACTCCTTATGCCTGCTTGTCTCTCTTAAGAATGTTTGTAAACTTCAACTATAAGAAAGCACATCAGCAGGACCCTACAATAAGACCACAACCAAATTCAAGAAACACCCATCAAATTGTTCTATCTTGTGAGGTTTCTCACTTCTCCTTTTCTGTGCTGACATTTCACATTTCTAATAGTTTATATTATCACCTCAATACCAGAGGAACACCACAGACAAAATAACCCTCCACTAATATGTGTAGTCTTAAGCCCCAGTCTTCAGGGAAACTAGTATTTCTTGTGAGGTATTCTGAGGAAAAAACAGTGAAGAGGAGACAGCGTACCAGTGCTCTGAGCACCTGCTACTGTGTTACTAAGGCAGTGCAACAAAAATCTGCCCTGAAAAGCAACTCCTATTATATCAGGAAGGGCTGAATTCTATGTTTGTAGGGATGTAAAAGATTAACCGGTTTACCTGGTAAGCATTAGCCTTACTGACATGCTTATACCTGGTAACCGGTTAATCGGAGGAGCAGCTCCTCCCCCTCATAGTGCAGCAGGACCCCGGCCAACCCATTAACCAGTTAAACGCTCAAAATTATATTGTTTAACCAGTTAACTTTTTTAATTGATATTTACATCCCTAATATATAGCTTTGTTTTGAAGACAGTGAAACTATGAAGGGCAAGAATCAACAGTCTCATTATATATATAAAAAATAAAATACAAAATAAAATCTGGGAGAGACTAATGGATGCTATAACATAATGGAGATGATGTATCTGTAATTTTATATTTGCAGCTTTGGGTTGCACCCATTGCTGACACTTCAGGTACAACAATAAAAGAGGCCACAGTGCAGATGGCCCATCAGCAAGAGACAGGGAACTGTAAAAGAGCTTAACCTTCCTGGGGACATGGGGATCAGTCAGTGAAAAATGGCTACACAGACATGTGACTGTGTCACCTGATTCTGCAACCCATCTTCATAGCCGTAATTTTTCATGAGAAGCTGGGAGGGGTCCAACTATGAAACAAAAGACTCCCACCACATGCAAATGTTATTTAAGGGAGGGAAGTGAGGTAATCTTGGTTGTCAGTTCTCTCTGACCACCCCACCCAAGATGATTCCTGGAAACACTAAGACTCAACTGGGGGGAGGAGCTGAGCCCAGGCTAGCAGTGTGTCTTGCCTGTGAAGAAGATTATTAGCACCACATTTAAGATGACAGCTTTGCTTAGCTTGCATGTTTGTTTTTGCCCAGTTACCTACTTTGTCTGCTACCTCTTATGACCACTTGAATCTTATCTTTTTATCCTTCATAAGATCACTTTTGTTTTGTAATAAACCCAGTGGAAGTAATTACTATTTTGAGAAGCAAGGAATCTGTGCATCTCTCTCTCTATTTTGAGAAAGAGCAAATTTCATGAGCATACTGGGAATAGATCTCTCTATAGAGCTTAAAAATGATTTATATAGGATTCAGTTCCCAGAGGGACTGTGTACTTGAGTGCAGTGAACAGATCTCACACCGTACTGCTTTTAATCTGTGTCTACAGCCTTAGCTCAACAAGAGAGGGTTACAGTATGCCCAGGCTGTCAGGGGAAGCAGGCTCAGTGGTGTCTCAGCACATCAGATGACATTCTAAAGAGGGTCCCAAGCTGCCACCATGTGCTTCACATTCAGTCTGATATCCTGCCTCCCTTCAGGGAAGAGCATTAGTCCCAGGTCTTGCATTCATTCTCTGGGAATTCTAATGTATTTTTAAAAAACAAAAGAAAAGGAGGCAGCTACTACCTATTACACTACTGCTTTCTCCTTGTTCAAGCAGAGTAGACTCATGTTGCAATCTTCAGAGTATATTTCTAATAACTATATGTGTGCTACCAAATCTGAAGGAGGCAATGATCTCAGTCACAAGTTGCTTTTATCCAGTCATATGGTATATTTCTAACCTTTCTTCCATTCATAGCTGCCAAAATTACTAACTTCCATGACTGCTCCACAACATTATGCAAAGTAATAAAATTTTTACTTGCAACCATTTAAAAGTCTTCAAAGCACCAAAGAAATTAGCGAACTAAATCCTCAATGCTGCACACACTTATGCACGTGCTTAACATTAAGCCTGGGTAAAGTCCCAGTGACAAATATGCTGACTTCAATGACATGGCTCCTGTGTTGCATGCATACGTACAAGTATTTGCAAAGCTGGGCCCAGCACAGTCAGTAGCTATGTTTAGACTACAGGCTTCTTGCGCAAGAAGCTTTTTGCGGAAGAGATCTTCCGCAGAAACGTCTTGCGCAAGAGAGCATCCATACTTCAAAAGCGCATCAAAAAAGCGATGAACTTTTGTGCAAGAGAGCATCCACACGCTCTCACAAAAGAAAGCACTGATAGCTATCAACAGAATGGCCACCACGGTACCTGTGCTTTTTCCTCCTTCCTGTTTTTGTGCAAAAAATCCCTGTTGCCCGTTCACATACACCTTTTTGCTCAAGAACTCTTGCTCAAAAAGGAGTTATTCATTGTAGAAAGAGGAATAACTATTGAGCAAAAACTCCTCTGTTCTTTTGATTTTTTTGTGCAAAAACACTCTTGAGGTATGGATGCTCCATGAGTTTTTGCGCAAAAACGGATGTTTTTGTGCAAAAACTCTGTAGTGTAGACATAGCCAACTGGAACATAATACCGCACACACAACACTGATATGTACAGGACAATCTGGTATCAGAGTTGGTAAATATTGAACCAAAAGTTGCAAGCTTGAGACAAGACTTTTGGTCCTGAGTCATTGAGTCAGAATCATCAGGAAAGTGATTCTTGAAAAATTAAAAGGGGGGGAATAAACATTTAATTGCCTTTCACCTGGCAAAAGAAATATATTTCTGCTTTGTAGTTGGATCAAACCTACTACAGTACCCTTACAAATTCTCTATTGGCAAATGCCTACTGGGTTAGGTAGCTGATAACATACTGACCAAAAAACAGCACTTAAATTGTATCCACAAAATATGGGAAAACACATGAGTAAGGGATGTAGGAACAAGCCCACATATTAATTCACTTTTTAAAAGCAATAACAATGGATTTATGTTACTATTGGCTCTTAAGAATTAAAGGACTAATGCTTCTACCATTAAGCTTGCAATAGTCTGCTTGCTAAAGAATAATCTATATTTATTCTATAAGTGATAGTAAAAATCTCATTTTTCTGCTTCTCATCAATTATCCTGGTACAGGTCCCGGGAGTAGATTTTGATCCCAATTCAAAGGGCAGCACAAGTCAGCCCAGTAGGGTTGCCAGGCATCCAGTTTTGAACTGGAAAAGGGACCTTAGCAGCTCTGTTCAGCACCAGTGATTGGGCTGTTAAAAATCTCGTTGGTGGTGCAGTAGAGCCAAGGCAGGCTCCCACCCTGCAGCTCCCAGAAGCTGCCAGCATATCCCTGTGGACCAGATGCTCAGAGGCAGCCAGGGAGGCTCACCACAGCAGCAACCACAGCCAGTGGGAACTGTGGGGATGGCATCTGTGGAAGGGGTAAGTGTGTAGAGCTTCCTGGCAGTGCATCTGCTTAGGGGTTCATAGGGAAATGCCAGCCACTTCCAGGAGTCACCTGAAGTAAGCACACTTACTGCTTGGAGACCACATATTGAACTCCCTCCTGTGCCCCCACCTCCTGCCCCAGCCTGCACTCCTCACTTCTTCTGTACCCTGCACCCCTCATTTCTGGAATTTGCATCTCCAGAAGGAGCCCTCACCCTCTCCCACACCCTGCCCCAGCTTGCAGTCCCCTCCCATACTCTAAACCCCTCACTCCAGCATCTCCCCAGAGCCCACATCTCCAGCCAGGGCCCTCACCATTTCCACACCTCAAGGGAGTAAGTTTGGGGGAAAGTGAGGGTACATCTAGACTACAGAGCTTTTCTGGGATACCAGAGGTATCGGGGAAAAGCTCTCCCATGTCCAAGGAACACGTCT